ATTTTAATTGCAAAGACAAATTGTAATTTATCATTAAAGAAATACCCCCCAAGTACTTATTTGATATATTTCGAATTAAATAATTATGAATATTATTAAAAATCATTCAACAATGAAAAACAGTTGATCATTTTTTAAAAATAATAGTTATTGATGACATTTGATCAGTCAAACATAAGAGGTTTGAAGCACTGCTTCTACAATCTAGACGGCTGTGCAGATTTATGCGTTTTGTAGTCCCAAGTCACAGATCAGTAATTTTCATGATGATTTCATAATGATTTCTGGATATCTAATAAGAAAATATGGCCAGTATTTATAGAATGGAATAAATGTGTCTAGCAACAGAATCTAGGATACACCTTTCGTCTTGTTTGGAGCTCTTCAAGTAGATTAGTAGAGTTTAATCATGTTGAACGTGAAATAAACATTACTCACTCTGAACGAATGAGCGTCATTTAAATTTTAGATGTAATTGTGTACTATTGTACCTCGGATTAATGATGTAAAGGTTGGGGACTCATCGTGAGAAGTAACGATCCTGTGTTCGATTCCAGGTGAGGTCATCAATGTGTACTTTTGATAAGTCCAACACTGGGCTAATACACATGTTCATTGCTTCCTGAGTTTCAGTATTTATCTAGCTGAGATATATCCACAATATACGATCACAAAAACTGTTGAATCAGTTATTCTATTACGTTATATAAATTCAATATTTAAAGGAAACTGATAAGTTGAAATGATTCACGGTATTTACCTTTTTACTTGACTACCTATATGTAATTTGAAATGCGCTGCCCACTTTTCTTGAGCAGCTACTTTGACGCAGTGGTTAGGCTCGCCTTTCGTGATGACTCGACCAAGCTTTCTTGGCTAGAACATATATTTCTTTAGGTCTTACGGTGGCATGCACGTCAGTTGGCGAATGGTAAGACTAAAAGGTCTTATGGAGAAGACTATAGCTAAATGTTGTTGGATCGATTACTTCGAGTACTGTCCATCAGGGTTGTGCACTTTCTCCATTCTTATTTAACGCTATCACATACATACTTTTAGAACAATCATCTTCGTCATCTGGATTTTCAGGACTTCATCTTCCACCAGGAAATTCGCCTATTGAATTAAGATATGCGGACGACACAGATCTGTTTGTGAATATGCTGAGAGAATGCGGTCTTCTGACCACCTTCAGCATCGATGCAAGCATGTTCGGGATGCACTATTCTCCCCTTAAGTGCAGAAAGTTACATCAGGATTGGCTTGCGTTGGTACCTGAACGAGTGATAGGGAATAAAGTAGTTGATCTTGATGATCGTCTCATCTATCTTGGGAGTCTAACCAGTTCTGATGGCTTCAGTGTATGTGGAGCAGACTAGAAGAAAGCTAGAGGCAGTCAATTCAGAACATGGCAAAAATTCATGAAGTCATTGACAAGTGAATTGGGCCATGTTAGTTGTGGTCCACGAGACAACCGTGATGGGTCGTTACAGACTTTGAATCACATAGCTTCAAATTGCTTGCAGTGGTGCAAGTGCATCCATTCTTTGTATTCTTTCAAACCCTAATCTTCTGAATTCCTTGTCACCTTTATCTTTCTCTTTTTAAGTTTATTGAATAAGATTATACTCCTTCAACCACATCTTCAAACCCTAATCTTTCCGATTACTTCTCATACTGTTACTGCCTCCACCACTATGGGGTTTGAGTCGACAATTCCATCTCTCTGGGCTAATGGGGTATGGCAAGTTGAACTGAAGTACCAAGTTCTACATCGTAACTAAGTGACTGAGCTGTGAAAAACGTAAATAGTAGACAAACGTGTAAGCTGAGTTCCTTATCATGATTTTCATTTTTGTACAATAATGATCCAAATCTTTGATTATTATAAGGTTTATTTTTATAATGTCGGATGGATGGTCCAAATACATATCTATCATAATGTTTCTGCTCTCATTTTCGCTGATCATTATTAAATTATTAATTTTGAAAATAGGATAATTCTGTTTTCTTTATAACCATGAATCGATCAATGTTAGACCACCACCATTAAAAACCTGGAAGCACTGAAAGATGGCCGTTTCGTCCTGGTATGGGACTCATCAGTGGCAGTGCGCATTCACGACTCCTGCACCCCCCAGGATTCGAACCCAGGACCTTCGGTATTTTTCATCTATCTACAAGATAGATATATCAACCGATGTCTTGCGAATGTAAAATCAAAATGTCTGTCTGTATCCTAATTTAATGTGTATTTCATTTTAAACCTTCTCGAAAGTACTGATTATTGGTTAATCTATCTAAAAATAATCTTTTCATAAAACATGTATCTTAATAAATACATAGTTTCACAAGTATATTTATTTAATTAAATTGCCTAAATACTATTCTTATAGATAGATCAAAAATCATAAATGAATAAGAATTCCAAATCAATTTTTCAATTATCTTTATATATTATATAACAAATCTAATTGAAAAGTAATAAACATAAACCATTGAGTTAATGTTGTAACATTTGAATTTAAAGAGAAAAAGCTTTTTTTTAAAGTGCATTTCAGTGTATGGCTAAACAATCATTATGATAAACTATTAACAAATTCTTGGTGGTATCAAAATTTGTTTTAGAAAGTTTAAAGAAATCGTTTTACTGTTTTGTACAGTAAAGTACAAATCAGGGAGAAAATCATACAGGTAACAAGAAAGCAGTCAATTCTTTTTATTTGTTCTTTTTTTTCATTAAAATCATTTCTAATTAACTTCAACTATCCAATAAACCTTGAAATCAATTGTAAAGTTGTCCATTTTAATATGTTCTCATTACTAATGTAATAAAACTTGTGTATACTCAAAAGATCTACTGATTAGGTATCATAATTTGTAGTCATGATTTATCTTACAAAATTCTCATTTAGGGGGCGGCCGGACCAAAACATGGTAGAAATCCATGAAATCACTGGCAAGTGGACTGAGTCATGTTGGTGGATATAGACTACCTGGTTGGGGTCCGCGAGACGAAAGTCATCGATAGTTAGAGACTTTGAACGACATGGCTCAAAATCGTTTGCAATGGCGCAAGTGCATCCATTCTTTGAACTCTCTCAAATCCTAATCTTCTGGATTCGTCAGCACCTCTACCTTTGTCTTTCTAACCTTATCTCACTGAATTATACTTCTTTAATATTGTCTTCAAACCCTAGTCTTCTTCATTACCATCAATACCCCTACTATCTTTATCACTATGGGATTTGATTAGACATTTGCGTCTGTGTGCTCATGTGGTATGGCAATATGAACTTATGTACATACGTACGAAGTTCTTACGTTACAACTGACTGACTGACTGACTCATTTCTTTAGATTCATTTACAATTTGTAAACAGATTTGTTAAAAATTGATCTATTCTTTGAGTTACTTTCATTTTTTTTCTATTAAATTCATTATTTCTCAAAGTTCAAATAGTAGTAACATGTTTCCTTTGATGTATGAGATACTTTCTTCAGTTGTGTAATTAGTATTACAATTAATTATTTCTGTTAACATTTTATCAAATGATAATGAATGGTTAGGCGTTCGCGCACAATATCGAAGGTCCTGGGTTCGAATCCTGTGAGGTGCAGGAGTCGTGGATGCGCACTGCCACTGATGAGTCCCATACCAGGACGAAACGGCCGTGTTTCAGTGCTTCCAGGTTTCTTCTAATGGTGGTCTAACATTGATCGATTCATGGTTTAAAAAAATGTGTAATTTAACAATCTTCACAACCGCGTAATGCATCTGAATAATTGTTGTTTACATAGTTTCATAGTCTCATGAATTTTTATGCTCAAGTGTTATTAATTTTCCGTGTATTTTTGAGATATTGTTTAATAGTGTACTCCAGGTTCAGTAAAAACTCAGATAAGATTACTAGCTTTAAAATTAATACATACATGAGAATATTAATGTATACATCAACAATGTAATACTTAACAAGATTGGAAACTAATCATGGATGGCTGTATCAATCGATTTTCTATAAGTGAACTCTGTAATTAGTTCACGTTTCTGCAAAACTGTAGAATGCGACCCACTAGTAAATGTCAACATGTGATAAACTAACTTATAAATTAATTATCTACTATAACTTAAACAAACATAATCTCTTATTTTTTTTTAGTCAATCAGCTAAGTAGGTGTGTTTATCATTTGTTAGTAAGTAGATCTCTATTAACAGTGATGTCAATCATTAACAATTAGGCAAATCTAACAATCAGTCATATGTAGATTATATCAGACAGTATCGGTACAGAACCTTAGTAAATAATACTCACATCTCATGGAATGTAGTCAAAACTCTTAAAAGAGATACATAATTCAGTTGTGATGTAGTTTCCTTTTATAAGTGATTAATTATTTATTTGCAAATACTTTAAAATTTAATTAAATTTATTTAATAACTGTGTCAGAAATTACGCACAGTATTTAACTTTAATAAGCAAACATTTTTTTTCAATATATCAGCATTACACAATGATCTATGTTCGTTCGATTATCAATCAATGAACATGAAAATGTGACCTTCTAAACACCGGTATCTACTGTTGGACCCATAAGCATTTGATTGGTAAACTAACCAGCCGGCCGGCCGGTTTAGATTTACGACAGGCCAATGAATAAAATCGATACTTCGCAACAGATTACCATCAAAAATAACCAGTTGAAAGTTGTAGTCGGTTACACAATTTCACCAAAATGTTTCGACAGACCAACAGCAGAACTCAATCATAGCATTTTACTCTTCTGATCCGGATAATTTCCTAAACAGTTCCCCCTCATGTTTGCAGTTTACCTTCAATCAGTTTTATATTAAAATATATAGGTTGGGATCAAATGCTCAGTGTGTACAAACAGGCAGATATGCAAACATAAAAGCACAGAAACACAGATTTACATTCTGACATATGGTGGGATACTATTGGAGTTTACTAGCACAAACAAACATTCATATTAAGGAAGGCACATATTTACACAATTGTATATAGATATATATCTATATTTTAAACATGTCAGTTGTGTGCATGTCTATTTATCCTATAAAAATTAAGCGACACCATGAACATACACCGACTGTGTCAGTTAGTAATGCCGGTAATAGAAAACTGCCTGAAGAAGAACAGGAAGAACAAGATTATCGTTTATCAAGCATAAATTCAACAGAATAATTTTTCAATCGATCTGTAAACATACAAAAAAAAAAAAACTGTGAAAGAACATAAAGAAAAAAAGTTGCCTTCAATCTCAAGACAATAATAAACTGAAGTGAAAAGTTGAACATTCATTTTTTTTTTTACCTATTTCTGTTCTATTCACTTCTGTTTAATATAACCAACCACCTTGTTGTATTCTATCTATGCAACATTATGAAGCCTCATGATAAATATCACATACTGAATAAGTATAGTACATATGGATTTATTCTCATATCTATTTTTATATTATCAAATATATGCATAACATATACAAATGGAGCAGCGGTAAGTGAAATGATTTAGTCAACTTTACCTTCTTTGGTATATAACATTTTTTTTAAAAAAATACCTATTTATCTAGTCTAAATGTTTATGAATTATTTGATTGAGTAGTGTTATAAATAGAAACAGTATTTAACAAATGAAGAATTTCAATTGAAATAAAGTGTTGATGTTGTTGATAATCTGGAAGGTTACTAGACTATCAATTTGAAGATTCTTGGTTTTAATCTGGTCATCAAGTAGACATTGTTTCAATTTCAATAGTTGCCATGGTATCATTTGAATTTCCTTACAGGTATATTTGATAGTAACAATGCTATTTATGTAACTTTGATTAGATTTTCTTGTTACACAGTCGACAATTAGTTCATCGCATTTAAAGTACACTACATAAACTTTCATATTATTAATTCGTGAGAGTTATTTACAAGATTGTGGTATTTCTCTTCATATTATTTCCATTTTTTTCAGACCTGCATACCATCACCGAATTGCACAGAATGCACTTGTATGGGAATACCTGGACCAAAGGTATGTAATAAATATACAATACATTATCGATTTCTTTGTTTAATTACTGTTGACAATGAATGATTCTGATTATGCACATTAGCTGGCCAATTATGGTGATTAATTCAGATTTAAGAAATAATTTTATGAGCGAATAACATTAGCTGTTGAATTGTTGAAAATTAACACTGGACAAAAATTACTTGTTTAAATTGGTGGTTATTTTTACTATATGAAAAGACATTACATTTGAATGAAATTTTCAACATTAATATTACTGTTTAGCAGTTGAATTTTTTCTAACCCCATCACTCCAGTATTAGAACGGTTTAGATTAAAGTAAACAGTGAAAGCAGAGTATTAAGAAACCAGAAAACTTCTAATTAATAGTTTGTTAATATTACATTTCAAAATATCAAAATATCATTGTACTGTGTGTAGTAGCTGTTCGCGTCTAACAGGAAGGAGGTACCTTGTGTACTAGGGGAGTGAGTATACAGAGTAGCGTGAGAGTGGGAAGAACTAAATGAGGATATGAACAAATAAAGAAATGAGCCGACAACTCAATGAGCACATGAAATGCACTTACTTTTACTACTAAGGATAGGTATTAATGGACGATCAATCATCACGTAAGTTTCAAATTAACAGAAACAAAAAGTAAGATCGGATAGCTTAAAGAATTCATACCACTACAATGTGTACTTTTCAAACATATTCCTGTCAAAAGTTATCGTTACATATGTATGTGATCAATTGGAAAAACATAATAATATTGAGTAGTTCACCATTGTTGTAGGTCAATCTAAAAATGCTTATCAAATTTCTATTTTATCAAAGTTTTGAATTACTTTCAATGCTGCATGCATTTTGGTACTTTAGTTCAGGTATGATTAAAAAAATAAATGTTTTTTAATTCTATATCAATATATACATAGATAATTTATCGAGAAAAGGAATATAATATATTAAGTGGGAATATTTTTAGAAACTTTTGTTCAAAATAATCCGATATGTCTGTTGTAAAAAGTAATATAATGTACAGAGAGTAGAATTTCTGATTGGTAGAAGATGTAAAACATCCTACTGTTTGTTTTTTTTCTTTCGAAGTGCATACGTATGGTGTTCACTGTTGAAATAGTAACTTCTATTCTGTTCTTTTGGCTAACTGATACACAAAAATAAAAGATATTGACTAGTATTGATTTATGAATTAGTTTTTTAATTCATCATCGATATATAAAATCTTGTTTCTACTAAAAGTTTCATTTTATATTCAACTAAACGAAGATTAAATTACTTGACAATTATTTATTGTCTTGTGGCATTTCATGTCAAGTGAATACATATTAGTGTATATTCAATATTACTTACTTACTTACGCCTGTTACCCCCAATGGAGCATAGGCCGCCCACCAGTTTTCTTCAACCAATATTCAATAAGTATATTCAATATTCATCGTACCTGTTATTATTGATTATTTAACTGTATATGAGCAGATCATTTTTAAGGAGAAGAAAAGTTAGACTGGTGATAGATATCACTTCGTATAGATAACTGTGTTAAACACTGGAATGAGTTAAACATCCCTCAATATCTATTCAAGATATTGTATGTGTGATGATTTAAAAAAGTAGGACTGATTAACTGAGCCAACTTTTGTTTATGCATCATGACTATGTACCTATGAAGACAGACAATGTACGTACCTAATGTATTACAAAAAAAACTGATTAAATATAGCTTGTATGTGAATTTAGTTACCTCATAAACATTTAAACCAATAAATGATACTATTCACAATTGAAAAAAATTCTCATATCACTAACACAAATAAATGAGAACACAAGTATCTATCTATAATAATAATGTAAACAATGAAATATTAGTTAGTGTGTTCCATTTTTTTTTTGTTCGACAATACTGTAGATTTTTTTTCAACTTTGTCAAATTGTTAAGCTTTCTAACATGGTCGGAATATGATTGATTAGAAATAGTTGTATTAAAATACAATTGTATTTGATTATATGTAGTTATTTATTATAATGTCGTCCTTTCATATATGCCCTTTTCTATTTTGCGCATATAACAAGAAAATCATGGAACACAAAAAGTAAGATTACTGATCTTACGAGGGGAAGTAATTGAATACTGCTGATGATCAAGTTACAGAGTTATTTTATCGTTTAACATTATATCACATGGATTTTTTTTTTAAATACAAGAAGATCATAAAAGAAATAAAACGAATAGTAATAATGATAATATTATTATTATTATCGTTAGTTTATACAGTTTAACATTTTACTTGAATGATTAAAAAATATGACAGAAGCATATATATGCACACACGAAGATTTATTTTATTTGACAAGCTTCTTCATAAATAGATGTTATATAATGATGATGTACAAGAAGTTTAAGAATCATAAATCGCGTCATTTAGTGTCCATTCATTCATTCATTCATTCATTCATTGATATATATTCGCATATAATTTACATTCGTCCTACTTCAAAGGTTACTTACTTTGATATAGAGGCATCATTGATAAATCTATGATTAATCTATGTAAATGTATACAAATTTTTTTTGTGTCATCCTTAATGTATTTTTATTATTTTGGCTCATTAATCTGTCTACTTGACTTTGAACTGAAATTCGAACATTTGAAAGTGGAAAAAATGACGTAAACTAATAGATTTTGTGTATAGTTTATCGTTATTGTGTTTTTATTTTTTTTTTTTCACGTCAATTGTCTATTCATTTTTTTATTTTTTTGGCGATATAAAAAAAGGGTGATCTTGGAGCTCGTGGTCATGTAGGTAGACCAGGTCCTGTTGGACAACGTGGATTGCCTGGTCCACCTGGTCCAGAAGGTGAACGAGGTATACCTGGTATACCAGGTGATCCTGGACCTAAAGGAATTATGGTAAGTTAAGTTATTAGTATGATTGAATGATTGGTAAATATTTATCAAATCGCTTGACTCGATAATGTGTGATTAAAAGGACTGATTTATTATTTTTTTATAAAAATGATTCACGAATTGTCCAATACAACCTGTATATAGTTTTGATTACATAATTTATAAGTACAATTTTGTCTACTTACAACTGTGTTTCAAGCAACTGACAAGTCCTATCAAAATATGCAGGTTTAGCTATGAAAAAAGATAGTTGAACTAAAGGACTTTATTCAGGTTTCTCTATAGAGACATTCTACTATTACTGTCCACAAAACGTCTTATATTATTTTTAAATTGTCTTTTTTTCCAATGAACTTGATCATTAATAATGACTAGTGTATATTTGTTTTTATCAAATGTAACATAGTAATCAAACAAACAATTGTGTTTGTTAAGTTAAGATATCTCCTCTCTGAGTGGTCGAAGTTCAAATGGGGTAATCCATTAATGAAAACTGGAAAAAAGCTATACAATTCACTCTATCTGTCGAAGTCGATTTGGTCTGTTTGAACTGATCACGAAAATTACCAATCCTGATGAGGAAAAATGATCATTGACTCAAGGTCAAAGTTTGACATAGAATCCACCTTTAATATTCTTAGGAAGTTCATTTCCATTCCCAACTAATAAATATCAAGTGTTTCCAAAGAAGTATTTAGCTGAACTTATACAGAGCTAATGAATACAAATAGATTCAGGAAAAATAATTCAATAAACACATTAAAAATTTTCCAACTGTTTATTTATAGCATCATTGTATGGATGGACAATTACGCATCAATATAGGAATAATGACTAATCAAAGGCGATATAAATTTATTGATTTATTCTATGTCTGGTGTAAATGTTGGTCATTTACAACTAGCATTTTCTTATTTCATAATATCACACACAGCATTTTGCCTACATGCAATTTTTTTTTTTTCAAATGTTAGAAACAGAAAACAATGAGATAATCTTCATTATCGTGAATAATTGATTAGTAATTTTATGTTATACAAGCAAGCCCACGTTAACAATTTCAATTTATTTGGTATTGTTGTTGAGTTAGTTAGTCAATAAATGTATATTTAGCTTAAAATAACCATTCATATAGTATAATTGTATCTATAAGTGATAATCTAACATAATTTTTCATTTGTATTGGTTGTTTCAATCTTTCCAATGATGTTTAAGGATTGTGATTAATCAGACTTATTTTTGGCAGATATACATCCTATGTGCATTGCCTCGATATATTGTAGGTGCATTCAATTTAACCAGAGACCCAAACTAGATTCTACCTGCTTGCATAATTTCGTTTCATTCTCATTGTCAGCTTAATTCATTTGACGTTATGGTTATAATTGTTTTAATGTAAAATATTTGAATGCGACATATGAACATATACATACTGAAAGTATATTAACAGCCGGTTTATATCAAAATAATAGTGTATTATCATGTTACCACATTGATCACCCATAAACTTGGATGAATTTCGAAGAGATAAATTGATATTTTTCTTTTGAACTTAACTTTTTTACATCAAGATTAATAGATATTGTCTTGATGTTTTTAATTTTTTTAGGGTGATAAAGGTGTTTTGGGTGTACCGGGTGTTGATGGTCTTAAAGTAAGTAATAGTTATTTTTTTTTAAAAAGGTGGGAAAATAATGGTTTATTTTAAATTATTCAATTAACATTTTACGAACCTGCCACTCATTTGCTCGTATATCGTGGGACAACGGAGTAAGCAATGTTATCGTTAGGAAACGAGTACCAGGTAAGGATGGCAAATCAATAAACGAAGTGGTTGGGACATGTGTTACGTATGGCTAACCACCGACTGCCTCGACGAGCTATGTTCTGTGGTGTAGGAGTAGGTTGGAAGAAGGCTAGGTGCGGCCAAACCAAAACATGGCAGAAATCCATGAAGTCACTGACAAGTGGACTGAGTCATGTTGGTAGATATAGACTACCTGCTTGGGGTCTGCGAGACGATAGTCACCAATGGTTAGAGACCTTGAACGACATGGCTCAAAATAGTTTTCAATGGCGCAAGTGCATCCATTCTTTGAGCTCTCTCAAATCCTAATCTTCTGGATTCGTCAGCACGTCTACCTTTGTCTTTCTAACTTTATCTCACTGAATTTTACTTCTTGAATAATATCTTCAAACCCTATTCTTCTTCATTACCATTAATACCTCTACTATGTTTATCACTATGGGATTTGATTTGACATTTGCGTCTCTGTGTTAATGTGGTATGGCAACATGAACTTATGTACATATGTACGTAGTTCTACGTTGCAACTGACTGACTGACTGACAGACATTTTATTTTGCTTTTATCGTACGTAACATTAGATGAAATTAGGCTACTAGTAAGCTAATAATAAACACCAAGAAACTTAGAATGATTTACTTCAATCATTTTTATCAATACTATATACGGCAAAAGATTTTCAGCAGTAGTTATTAGTGGTAGTTCATTGTTATCGATTCAAAATGACACTGCTTAAATAGCATTTCACATGAATGATCTGACTTTAGAAGTAGAATTTTTTCTTTAAAAGAAGTAAATAATCCTTCGTTATGCATTCTGTGCCTAAGTTATGATATAACAACAAATAACTATCATTTATATTGTTGAGAAAAATCACTTCAAAAGATAATTTACTGCTTCAACCAAGAACGAAAAAGATAAACAAACTGCTCAAAATCTCAACTGGATAGAAACGTTGTTAATAGACAAATTCTTATATAGATATACATAAGATTAAGAATTAGTGAGATATATATATACTCTTTACTGTAACATCATATTTGATATTCTGTTAGAATTACTTGAAGAAAATTTCTTTCTTACAACTAAACTCAACATACTATTACTTACTTACTTACTTACGCCTGTTATCCCCAGTGGAGCATGGGCTGCCCACCAGTTTTCTCCAACCAACTCTCTCCTGGGCTTCCTTCTCCAGTTCTGTCCAATGTTTGTTCATTCTTCTCATATCTTTTCTTTGTTTCTCGGCGTAATGTTTTCCTTGGCCTTCATCTTTACCTTTTGCCTTGAGCGTTCCATGTGAGGGCTTGTCTCGTGACGCAGTTAGGTGCTTTCCGCAATGTGTGTCCTATCCACTTCCACCGCTTCTTCCTGATTTCCTCCTCTACTGGAATCTGGTTTCAACACAATATACACTGAACTAATTGTGTCAAATACACTTAACTATTGTCGTTAATATTACAATCAGAAAAATAAATAAATTACAGATATTGAAATGAGATGTTTAAAATATAGGTTATAAGTGATCCTACTACTAATGAGACCGAAAAAAACGTGGCTAGATAGTTCAAATACTCATAAAGAACAACATTTCAATAATGAAAACCTCAAAAGAGTAAAATATAGAGGATGAAACACCGAAACTCCGTGTTTATATTTCAAGAAGAACAATGAAATGCGGACACATTTTGTTATATATATAATATTGTACGATAACTTGTAACTTATAGGTATCAATGTTAATAATGTGGTTTAGTCATGTCGTAATAATGTTTAGGTGTAGAAGATCATAATAAGCATAATAGCAACTGCTGCTGAGATGATATATCAATAAGTCATAATAGTATTACTTCTAATCAATTCTAATCATTAGTCAAGATTTTTTTTAGTCAGTAATTAAATGTATGAATGGTTATTCCTAATTATCTCAATCAATTATCAACAATATTGTTTTTAACCCTTTGGTTGATTGACACAATTTAACGGGCTAAATCATCACTGTATTATGTGCACCAAAGCAATCAGAATTGACTGTAGTGTTTATGATTTTAAGAGTACTTTAGTAGAGAGAAGATGATTTTAATAGAAAAATTGAATTGAGTGGTTGGAAAGCATGAAAATAATATTAAAGACAAGGTTATATGTTACAAAGACTGATTTTAACCAGGCATTACGGATTACTAACTAATAATAACTATTAATCCAATAAATTTTTATGAAATTTTTCGAATTCTAAGATAAATTTAAATGCACTCAAGGTATTTCAAAAAAAAAGAAAACTTTTAAAAAGTTTCATTTTCAATGTTTATATTTTGTATTCAAACATAAAAGTTTTTCATAAAGTATTATTCAATATCTTTTTAAAAGCTAATCAAAACTGTAAATGAAATGTCATTGGCACACTAACAAAATGAAAAGTTCACTGTTGTTCACTGTAAACACAATGAAATTTGTCAGGAACTTATAATACAAAATAATTGAAATCTTTTTATAAACCTTAAGAAGACTTAAACAATATAGTTGTGATAAAATCTATCAATTTTCATGAAGAGGTTTTGTTTGGCTAACACGAGTAGTAAATAGGACAAACCATGCATCCTAGATTTCACATGTAGCTACTGCTCATTTGTTGTAAAAATAAAGTTTATCGTGTTGAAAATAGTTCATTGATAATTTGTAATTTGTGTTACAAGCAAATTTTAAAAAAAATTCATCCTGTTTGTTTGTTTTTCTTTTCCAAAAATTTAATTAGCTTAAACAAATGGATTAATATTAGTTTAATAAAAATCATTTTCATCATATTTTTAATTATTTTTTCATTATAGTTAAAATGAAGTTATAACCGTTCACTAGGAATTTTAATTGTGAATATAGAAGCTTTCAGTACGAAATCTCAGCACGGATACAGAAGGCTCGACTGGCTTTTGCAAACCTGCGTCACTTATGGCGTAGGCGAGATATCCGCTTGTTAACCAAAACACAAGTGTACTGCGCAGTAGTTCGCTCCGTCTTACTTTATGGCTGTGAAACATGGCCAGTGAGAGTAGAAGATATTCGTCGGTTATTGGTTTTCGATCATTGGTGTCTTCGAAACATTGCTCGCATATCCTGGGACACCGG